TGCATGTTAAAATTTGAGAGCTCTACCCTAGATTAGGGTGAAAGCCTTTACTAATTGAGAGTTGTGCTTTTGTAATCCTACTGCTGTTGTGTGTGGCATGGGTGATGAATCCAGTGTTTTAGGAGGATGAACCCAAAGCCCTGAATTACAATCCACTGAAAATTTTCAATAGGATGTAGAGACTTGTGAAAGCAGCTGGACCAAACCAACAATTGATTTGCTTAAGTGACAGTGGCTATCTGGGCTTTTGGTGATATCTTATTTTAGAAGAACCAGAGTTCTTTAATTAAGCAAGTCACTCCACAATTACAAGCAATCATTGACTACTCTAAAAATGGGGGCTACTATGATTACTCCATGGAATTCAAACAAAGTGGCTTGTAATTGTCAAAGCTAAGAAACACAGAAATGAAAAGGAAGGTGTCATTTTTCCTTTAAGAAAACAATTTATCAACTCTTTGAGAATTTCTCATAATGCATTTTGATCATATTCATCCTCTCTCCCAACCCCTCCATATATACTTTCCTTTTCCTACCCACCCAGTTTTATGTATTCATGTTTTTTAAACCCAAGAAGTCCAATTTGTGTTGCTAATATACTCTTGTCTGTGACACTGTCTAGTGGAGTTGGGTGGATCCACCAGGGCCACACTCTTGGAATTAACTGACTCCCCCACCCCTAGTAGTTATCAACTATCAATAGCCCCTCAGTTAAAGGAGCCCAACTCCTACTTCTAGGCTTGGATTTTGTCTGCCTTGAGCTTGCAGAAGTCTTGTTCATGTGGTCACAAAAGCTGTGATATGTTCTTCTGTACAGGATCCTGCTGTTTAGGAGACCATGAAGAACCTTTCCTTGCTAAGGTTTACAGAATATTACAGTCTTGTCATGTGATGGGTGTGGTGTATGTGTGTTTTACTCAAAGTAGGCGGTACAGGCCAGGAGATCCTGTCAATAAGACTTATTAAAGAGACCCACATCCAAACCCACCCAATCGATCTCAGCATGTTATCATCATATCCCAACTGGATGTAAATTTTGGAAACATGCTGGCATAGATGAGGAGTTATGAGGTCATGTTACCTGTGTTTCAATCCCAACTCCTTTCAACTGTGTGGTCCTGGGAAAGAAATTTATACCCTGAGTGCCTGTATCTCCTCATTTGCTAAAAGGGGACAATCAGAACACTATGGATATTTTATGCATAAATGAAAGTGGGCCTGGCAGCTCATGCCTTCAATCTTTGTAACTTAGGGACTGAGGTAAGGGGATCATAAGATCATGATGTGTTCAGGCTACATAGTGAGTTCAAGGCCATCCCAAGCAATTAAAAATAGCTTGGGATGTAGCTCAGTGGTAGAATATTTGTCCAACTAAAATCCAACTAACCAAACAAATTGCCACATATGTTAATACATTAAAGGGCCCAATACACTGCCAGGTACATGGAAAGTACATAGTGTTCATTGTATTTATATTTTCCTCTGGTCCTCTGATATGATGATATGATTGTTCACCATATAAACAAAAACATTAAAAACAAGAAGCAGCCCCCACCACCCCACCCCAACCTGTCAGGCCCTAATTTTTTTGGTGTCTGGCCCAGGGCCTGAGGTGCCTCATACAGATCATTAGAGTCTACCTTCTAATGGCTCCTGGAACCTCATACCAAATGGCCAGTCTCAGAGAGAACTTTAACCCATTCCTTCCCAGGGGTGTGATCCTTTCTCTCACTGGGAATTGGGCTGCTGTGTTTCTGTCTACAATGCATATTACTTATTAAAAGTTTTCCATCAGGCTCAGTGGATAAAGACAATTGTCACAATGCCTAAGACCTCATTTTAAACCCTAGACTCCATGTGGTGGAAAGAGAAATGACTTCCACAAGTTGAACTCTGAGTCTGCAAGCACTCTATGGGACAGAATGCACATAGATATAGAATGTAAATGGAAACAATAATTCTAAAACAGCTTTTTGTCAGCGCTGGTCTGGTAAACACTTCCACCCCCATGCCTTGGGCACACCATTCTCAGCATGACAGTCATGCTCAAGTTATTTTATTTTATGACTGATATATTGAGCATTCACATTTTTCCTTTATAAGTATATTTTAAAAGTAGGAAACAAAAAGAGTTGCTGATATTTCATTTGGTATCCTTGCAATTACATTAAGGTATGTGGGCTTTGAACTTTTATTAAATTTGCAAACAAAAATACAACCATAGACAACATGCTAGTTCAATATGTATCAATGACTGACAACTTATATTACTCAAGAGTTTATTTTGCTGTTTATATCTTAAATTTTTTAACTTGACTTTTAGAGAAATATCTGTAAATGCTATAAATCAAACCCTAGGATTGAGATTATGTTTTTATTCTGAAATGCTGCTGGCCAACAATCTGAACAGTGATTTTTAAAGTGATTAAAAAAGACTCAGGTACTAAAGGACACATCAGTATCCCAGGCAGGGAGATGGAGAGTTTGGGGCCAGCCTGGGCTATCCAGTGATATCCTGGCAAAAAGCAAAAGAAAAAAAGAAATGAAAAGGAAAACCATAACTGAGAAGAAGAAGAAAAAGAAGACATGAAAACAAATGCAGTCAATCTCTATGTGATCTTCCAATATCCAACCATAATTCATCTATTACATAAATATAAACATTTGACTTATATTAATAAGAATATAATCTGAATAATGTCTTTCTCACATGGTATGTAATGAATGCCTGTTAACTGAACCTTGAGGAAAACTTTGGATTTAAAATCATCCTAAGAAGGTAACTTATTAACATATTAGAAATTTGGTAATGTTTTGCAGTTCAGTGAAGATTTTATGCTCAAATAAAATGGACTTTCAGAAGCATGGTGTTAGAAGAATCAGATGAAGATATCTTTACAGTGCCTAACATGTCCTAGATAGAATTTTCTTTTGTGAAAACTACAGCTGCTTATTTTGAGTGGCCTCAGTCAAATAAATGCGCATCACTGTACCATGGGAAAGGACACACCAGCATTCTGAGGCTGAAAATTACTTTCTCCTCCAAGATCTAAATGGTCAAGATCAAAAAATTAAATTGTTTTTTTTATTCTTTAGTTTCCCAAATGAGGCCAGAGAGGATTTA